GATCAGCCAATAATCAGACTTATTTACTAGTTATTTACTATTTAATAGGCAAATCAAGTGATCGGTGTAAACTAGGCCAAATGAGAGATATGCCAACTATCCTCAAATACCACGTAACCTGTCTATAGTAGATTTTTGATTTTTCATTGGTCGCGTTCAGCAGACCAAGCCGCTCAGTAGCATAATCAAACGTGATTGGTTCTTACTTTTAGAACGAACCAATCACAGCAGAGTGTTGATAAGACGAACTCAACAGTTGTGCAACAGTTGTCTGCTGAACGCGCCCAATAATCGAACGTGATTGGCTGCGTATCCTCTCTTTCACCATAGGTTTGTCGTAAAGTCGTGAGTCGTAAGAATTGACCAATCACAGTCGATTATTCTTCTCAAATTCGATTGCGATTGGTCCATTTCCTACGACTCACGACCCACGACTCGCATTCGGCCTGTTCTTTTTAGGCTGAAATTGTTGCACGTTTTTTTTTTTATAGAGAGAGAGAAAGAGAAAAGATAAACTGTGCAAAAAGTTCAGTTTTAAAAAGAACAGGCCTTTTGTCTGGATTGGTACGTGAGAGATAATAAGTCCAAAAATGGCGGTTGAAAAGAGAAGACGGCCAATAGAAGTACTTGGTGATCGGCATATTAGAGTTCTTGTATTTTACACGTTCTGTTACATCTGTAAATCTCATACGTAAATCGCGGCAACTGTCCGCTCGGGAGAGATATTTCCGCCGTGTGATCTCTTCTTGGGTTTTCTCCCGCGCAGGAATCAAGATTGATTTCAACGAGTCGACGCGGGACGCGGGACGAGGAGCCGTTCGCGATCGAGCTACCGGCGGCTATCGCGCCGTTTCGACGCTCTGTTTTTGCGGCAAATGTCATCCCCGGTGAACATGTGATCGGCGAACGACGTGGAAAGGCGATTTTTGGCGATCGTTTGGCATGGTTTGTGTACGTATACCAAAGTTGCTATCCGTGGCTGCTATTGGTTCTGGTGCAGTTGGGTACCCTTTGGTTGCTTATACCAGAGTCACGTCAAAAATTGCCTGTGGAAAGCGCCGGGAGAAGAGTGTGTCGCGTGATGACTATGACGCCAACGTCGCGCGAGTTCGTCGTTGATTTGCTAAATGAAAATTCGGCGGAGACGGCGACCGCGATGCCCGAGGACCGCGAGAACGCGTCCGACGCGCGTCCTAACCTTCCGACCGCAACGCAGTACCATGCCGTGTACATGGAACACAGGGACCCGTCAGATGGGAAAGGTAGGCTTTAATCAAGCGTCCTTTCGCTCGTTATAATTAGAAGTAGCGTTCTCTCGCGCGCTCGAGAGAGTGCTTTCGATAACGTTAATTCAATTGAGGGTAAGGGGGGGGGGAGATGCAGTTGTGAAATGTTGGAACAAAGCTATTTCTTTTTCTCATCACTGAGTAAACATATTTAAATTTAAAACTTTTTTTGTATAATTTTGATTTTGATCGTTGATTTTTTTTTTAGCGTGTCCTTTCGATTATGATTTGTGAAGTCTCGTCTTTTTGCAACCGTGATCGCTCGTGACTTCTGATAAAATTTATAACTTTTTAAAACCGAACAATTACGTCCGTTCATCTCAGTTTTGAAAAAAAAATCAAAAGTATAAGTGTAATTATTATGAAATAATAAGAATTGCTGGGATAATTTTCAAGAGACAGAGAGATAAAGAATATGATTTTACGAGAGAACTTTAAAGGTTGCTATTTAGTTATAAAAAAAAATTATATAAATCTAAAGTCTTTTTGCTTATTCCAAATTAGTATTGTTTGTATGGACTTGTTTTTGTTGACATTTTATCATTTTATGTGTGTAATACATGTAATTTAGTTTATATATGTTTATTAACTTTAGCAATACAGCCAGAAAGTGGACTTGGTTTACAATCAATCCTTAATCTCTCATACTTGCATTCAATCCACGCATACACAAATATCCAAAATCCTATTATAAATTATACCATTATATCTTATTATATATATACCATTATACACTATCTCCTAACCTCACAGCCTATCTCACAGCCTATCATTCCAAAGTTTTTCCAACTTTTCTTTACTATCCTTTCCTAATACTGTAACTGTAAACCATTCCTTTGTCTTAACGCAATCTTCAACATAGTGGTTCATATTATCCTTGCCTTCATTACAAAAAATACACATTTGTTTCTCTTCATCTAGCCAATACCTGTTACCTGATTCTAAGTTCCCGCATCTTAAATTTAACAACGCTCTGATACTATCCCCGAGACCCTGCCTGTCTAAATTATCCAACTTTAAATAACTTGGGCCTTCCAAATCTATACTTAGCTCCTTATATTTCTTGTTATACCTTGCATCTAAAATCCTGTTTCCCTCTAACTGCCTCTGTACATCTTCATCCCTCTTCCATATTTCTTTACCTAAATTTCTCCCCTCCCTTCTCAAGGCTTCCACCGCCACAACACTCCAACCGTTCCTATATAATTTAGTTTATATGATTTTAGTATTTTTGTATTTTTGGTACAAATTTTTGTGTAACAAGATATCAAGATAAACTCGGAAGGAATATTGGGAATAATATCTGTATAATTTGGAAACTTTTTGACATTTGAGTGCTTTGTTTACTCTAATTCACGCAGGAATTATGTGATATCTTTTTTAGGTATTTTGATATATCCAAAAGTCATTTTACACAGCTCAAAATATACAGGAAACAACCTGTTTTTCAAATTTTATCATATTTTGGTTAATTTCAAATACACTTTCTCTCTTAATCTATTGGTATTGTAACTTTGAATAATAATATAATGCTCTTTTTTCTCTTTATACGTGGAAAATTGTCTGTTACTGATTAAGTTGTCAATCTTACAAGGAAATTTTATGGTAGAAGCTTGTACAATTTTGAGAATTTAGTACGACAACGTAGAACCACTCTCTGAATCGACTTTACTTCATATAGAAAATCTTCGTAGTTGTTAAAATTAAGAAGGGTTAACATAACATAAAATGATATTTGTATAAGTAATTCTCTATAAGATTAATAGCGATACCAGTAACATATTATATCAAAAAGTAAACTTGTACTATTTGTACATTATTCAACCTCCTAATTACTATTATTATTAATATTATTACGATTATCTCTTACAGAAACTCTTCACGTTTATGAAGACAAGCAGACTGCCTTAAAAGTGCATAAGACAGATAAGACTAGCCGTTTTAATAGTTTCAAGAATTATTCCGATGCTGTAGCATTCGCAAGGACTGGATCCAAACAGCCTTCTTGCAATCATCCTGTGACAGTTGCCGCGGCGCAAGAACAGTCGAGTAATTTTAAGGCACCAACCACGCAGGAACTTATAGCTTTCAAAAGATTAATCGAGAATGGGGACTTGGAGGCTGTGGAGAATATCGTATGGAAAAATCCGAGATATCTAATCAGCAGTGGAGATACGCCTGAAATTTTGCAGGTAAATATATATATGTATATAATTTACAATTATATTTCTCTAAACTTGATCTCATTTGTCGCAGTATATATAATTGCAAAGAGTGTAAATATCTTTATTTACATAAGTTTAATATTTATAGAAATGATTATTTTTTACGTGTGATCAGTATTTCTGCTGATTTACATGTATTATTATTATGTTAACGAAATTGTAATATAAAAAATTATACAATAATAAAATACGTATCTGCCAAATTTACATAATTTATAATTATTTATAATTTTATATTAGAATTACTGCATAATTATGCAGCAAATGTTTTATATTTTCTTATAGAAAATTATATTATATTTTTAGATGGGCTCTCGATATAATGCTTTACATATAGCGGCGAAAAAGAACAAGCCAAAAATGTGCGAATTTATATTGAATACTGTTGGGGATCCCAAATTTATGCAGTGGCATTTTGGGGAAGAAAAATGTGAAACTTACTTAAATCCTGCGGAGATTATACGGGATTTATATTTAAATACACCGGACAAAGGACTCAACGAGACCCCGTTACACTTTGCTGTTAAATTTGGTTTTAAGGATGTTGTTCGGGTTCTTGTCTCATATTCTCAATGTAGTAAAACTTCGAAAAACAAATATGACCAGCGGCCTATAGATGTAAGGGAACAAATTCTTTATTTAATATTTTATACTTTTATATATATATATATATATATATATATATATATATATATATATATATAACAATGTAATATAATATAATATAATATATATAATATCTCACGATTTTAGTTAATATGCAGCAGAAAGTGCCAAAATGATGAAGCTCTAAAGCATGAGATACGTATGCTACTGGAAGATCAATTCTATGTACCTGTGTTAAGAACAGAAGGCAATGCATGTCCACCTGTTATCGGAGAACCATTCTCGCCGATTAATCCACTTGTAAGTATATGTGTATTAATCCACTTGGAATATATGTGTTTATATAAGCAAAATCTTGGAACGAAGCGTAGATATTAGTTTTATAAAAAGTGGGATATTTTACTGTTTACAGAATTTGAATAGAGATCCTATGAGTCCTCGTGTAGAAGTAAGGGCGTTTGCCGGTCCAATGACTGAGAGACAAGCAAAAGAATTTCGAAAAAAGTGGAAAACACCACCACGTATGACTCCTAAAAAAGGACAGGGCGATGCACCCGGTATTATGAATAGCCCTATTATGAATAGCCCTAGTATAGCTCTGAGGCTGCAAGACACAGAAAAAGGGTTGGAACGTGTTGGAAGGTATGCAGATATTAAATCCAAAATTTATTACTGTATCCTTATATGATAATACTAATATATTTGCCATATGTGCGTGCGTGTGTTAAATATTAAATATTCAGAAATTAAGTCGTAATTTTTACAACATTTTATTGTACTTAATTGTTATATTATTTAATGATACGTTATCAAACGATAAATAGATGACTTTCTTTATAGTATTTTATTATATCTTATTTATTTAAATAATGAAAAATAATCCGGTTTTCTCTTTGATGTATGACATTTTTCTAGAGATCTTGCCGAGGAATGGCAAGTGCCTTGGAAGGAATATTGGCTATTCTTAAAAGATTTCGTTGATTTTCGGAGTGACGATGGATTGAAGAAGCTCGAAAATTATTTGGAGAAAAGATTCAGAGATAACGAGCAATTATTTTACTCGACGGTATAAAAATGTATCAAATAATACGTTTTTAATGTTTACGTTAGTCAATTCTTCTAATGTTTCTATTTTTTTTTCTTAGAGAAACCTGATTAATGACGCATATGCGCCAGCGAGTTGCGAAGATGAACCAGTAAGTTGCCAACAGACGCCAAAAGAAATGGATGCCATTAACGATATACAATACTTATGTGATAAATTATACTTGTGCTCATTAACTACCGAAATTGATAATGTTGAAGAAGATACAGGTATTGCGTGTTTAGGTCCCCTTACATCTCACAAAGGAATAAATAATATCTTCTCCCTCCTCTATGTGAAATTATGATATCCTATAATTGTTAATTACGATTTTATTATAATCAAATTAGGGTTAACTATTTATCTTTTATCTTGCAGACAGCTTAGAATTTTTTACACCTCCATCCTCGCCAGAACTTATTCAAGACGATTTCGATGACGACATGCAGATTGCAGAAGAAGGAGGTCCTCAAATATTTATTGAAGGGTAAATAAATTTTTTATTATTTTTTTATGCAAAGGCGAACAGTACTGATGATATATCACATACTAATAATTTTTTAAAGCAATATTTTATATCATTATTGAATGTTAATGCTTTTAGGTCTTCACCAACAAAATTAGATTATGCTGTTTACAATGCACTTTCATCTGTGATTTGTCCCGATACGTATCCTTATATTTACCGTTGGCGACACGATATGCAGCTGGCTATAAAACGTGATCCATGCAGGTACATAATATTGTATCTTTAAACATTAAATTTGTTTTTATGAATCTATTGTTAGTAATAATGCTTTATGATGATGCATAATTCTCCTTTTTTTTTACAGATTTAACCTGAAATCCTTAAGGAAAAAACTATTTATAGATAATTAGATATATATATAACGATAAAGATAGTTATATTGTCAATCTGAGCTGCCAAACTTTGGATTAACGGTTGAACTGTTTCTTATAGATTATATCCTATGACAAAGAAAAAAGTTAAGTTCCCCCGAAGCTTACTAATTAATGTTGACTTCAAAAAGTTTTAAGCTATGTTAATATCGCATAAAATGTATAAACTTTTTTGCACAATGTTGTTGGACTAGCATCTTGGATAATCTTAAATGTATTCGAGATAAGATAAGAGAGGGATATATTTTGAGACGTGTTTTTACAAGACTTGTAACTAGAGGACCTTCGTGCTCAAACTTTTGAAATCATTAGTGTGTACTTCTTTTTATTGCTCACCGTTTATAGTTACAATAAATGCTCATTACTGGAAAATACATTCGCCGATTTCCGTGTGTCTCGTCTCCCATCACATCTGACGCAAATATATATTACTCATGTACTTCATAATGTATTTATTATCAATAACTTTTATTATATATAATAATAATATTACTTATCTCTTATTTAACAGAACATTTATGAATTTTGTTAATATCGTCGCGATCACGATGTGCATTATATCTTTTTTTTAATCATTTTTTTTCGCTTATTTACCATAACTCATATTCTCAAAGTCTAATTGCAAGGATAACGTCTTCAATTTAATCAAGCGTTAATGGGAGTGGGCGGTGTCTGTTTTAATTGCAAAATGATCGAACGCATCCGGGAAACGTCCTTGGAAGTGCGGGACGATTTTGGATTGAATTCGCAGAGCTTGGCGATGCGTTCCCACTCGGTGCCTGGTTCAACCTCATCTGCCTCTGCGACGAATTGCTTCTCTGCGTTCCTATTCGTAAAAAAAAAATGTGTATTAAACCAATTCCAAAGCACACGTTGTATATCAGTTAGTAATGTGAAAGAAATGAGGAATTAAGTGACATATATATTTCATTAATATATCAGAGTCTTGAGAAAAAAGTAGAAATAAATTTGTATTGTTCTTAAATTATTATGTGACATGAACGCGTAGCTATTAGACTCGATGTCAATCATGGTGTTTTATAACATTCATGTTGTGCTTATGCATAAGCAAGTAGTGCTTAATTAACACGTTCTATTCTTTCTTTCAGTTTATGGAAATGGTTTTTATAAAACGATTGAGAGGATTGACAATTCATCATTGATAACATTCAAAGATTAATAAATGCATTTACGCCTTTTAATTCAGTCATTTTAGGCATATTATAAACTATAAAGTAAAGATGATGTTGAGAATAATTTTATTATATGCAATGTCGTTTAGTGCAGTCTCAAGGTAACTCGTTAAGAAGCAATATCGTGATAATTGAAAGAGCGAAAAAAAGGAAGAGAATGAGAAAACTGCGCCTTTATATCCTCGATTCACGTTCTAAGCAAATACAATCTCGGCGTTTCCAAAGCAAATCGTGTTACAATGCATGAATTGTAATGCATGTTCTCATGCGGATAAAGATATTTTTTTTTAACTTACTTGGCTGACTCCCTAAGAAGCGAAATAGAAACAATATAATTATATACATGTTAAAAACTTCAAAAGTTTATACATAGCATAATACTGGACTAATTTATCAATATTAATTGTACTTGTACATTAAATGATGTGATGAACTTAGTCCAAAATATTTATTATATCTCTCAACAATATTTCACATTTCCGATATATATTACTCCATATTTTTAAATATATAAATATTGTATTATTGTTGGATACAAGCCTTGTTAAATAAAATTCAATAGACGGTCATAAAAGATTCTAATTAGCAATCACAACTTAATGTTCAGTTTTAGCTTGTTTTTTTATTTTTTAAACGGGATAGAGATATACGAGAGAAGAAAGAGGATAAAAGATCAGTAAAATTACCTGTTGGTAGTCTTCGTTTTATTAATGGCTTCTGCATGATGCTTATACCATTCTTCTAACTCTTTCTTCGCAGCTTCTTTCCATTCCTCCTTCTTTTTCTCCTCCTCTGCGTCTAAAAAAAATTTGCACCCTTATCCATACTATTCTTAACAAATGTATCACATTTCAGCGATAAAACTGACTACTTACCTTTCTCTTCAAGACGCGCCTTCTGTTCCTCCCTCCACTTTTTAATCTTTTCAGGTTCCTCCTTAACTGGCGGAGGAGGTGCTGGTTCTATATGCATAAAAATGTATAAAATAACAATTGATTCTTTTCAAGATGGAGATGGAGATGGAGATCTCAAAATAATTATCTGAAAATGATCTCGTACCTGATGCTGCCGGTGATGCTGATGCTTCTCCAGGCTGCCCGATGGTATCTACAATTTCGAAGCTGCCTTCAGCATCGCCTCCTGGTCCAACTTTTAGATTTCCAAATTTCCCAGACAGCTCATCTACGACATATTGTCGACGTTTACGATATTTGCACACATATGATACAGATAAACAATATGTAATTACAACTTATGACACATTTTCTTATTTATATATCAATTCCTATTTACCTTCGTTTTGACCTGCCGCAGCTGCAGCCAGAGTTACCGCCATCGGTGTAATGTCATCTTCTAAACCAGCCAACTGATCCTGCTCCCTCGCCAGGAACTCTGCTGCTGGATCCACATCAGGTTCGTTGACAAAATTGTCACCAAATGCGTCCATTGTCTGAAAAAAGATTGAAAGGATATATTCTGATATGCATATCATTTATTGAAAACAGAACGGCTCCAAACTGGTTTTTTGTTGTTGTTTAATAAATTGTTACTAAATTAGGATAATTGTAACTATGGGTCTATTTTCTATTGCTGAACTGGCTTCGCTAGTTCACAGAGTTCATCTTTTTCCTTCCAATGTGGAGTAAAAAAGATAAACTCTGAACTAGTGCAGCCAGTTCAGCAATAGAAAACAGACTCTGTACAGCTCGAAAAAAAGGAGATTGAACGTCAGTGACATTTGACATTTGAGGTTAATTAATCAAATCTGTCGCTAATCCAAATAGAATCGGTCTTACCGTTTACCTAATCGAGACGAGATGATCAGACAGAAACTTTTTTCACTTGCGGTAACTTGCTTGTGTAGATTCTCGTCCGAGAGACTACGAAATATGCGACTCTTCGCTAGCCAAGGGAAACACCTCCAACGGTCTAACCATGGTGTAAGAAGAAAGGTGAACCATTGCGCATAATGGCGGAAGTCTGAGATCTTAACCAATCAGAGCTTGAGCTTTTAGGTAGCGCGCTCTTTAAAAGTTTCAGAAATGAAATAAGATATGTATAACGCAATTTGGATAAAAATATGTTATATTTAATATATATATCACAAAAGTGAAGCATAATTATACAGACTGTTTGTTGCATATATGTTTGAGTTTTCTTTTTTCTTTTCTAGTACAGTTTTGTTGTTTTATCTCTTGATTAATCTGACGCAGGCGTATATACGTACGGGTTCGTACAAGGCACGCGATTACACAAGCGGGAAAAGAAACTTTTGCGCACGTGATGCTTGTTACCTTGTCAAATATACCACTTTCTTTGCTAAATGAGCGCCCATGAAGTTTTACAAATTCTTCGTTCATAATACTGGCTGCTGTCTGCAAATCTTTGGAGGGATACATACAGTTTCCTCTGGATATGCAAGACAGCCAATTATCTGTCAGAGGAAGAGTTGACGTAGGAACACCTAATTCTGGATATTTATGCCGAAATTTATGTGCAACATAACCAGCTATATAAATCAAAGCTTCTGTTTCAATTGTTAGACTAGCTATTGAAGTTTCAAATTCTTGAAGCAAACTAAACTCATCAATGGTTGGAGTAGTATAAACTATCTGGGTTTCTGAAAAAGTCATAAAATAAAATAGTAGTATTTTTTATTTTTTTGTATAAGCTGTCACTCATTTACATACATTATACATGTATGTAAATCCTTTATACATGTACATTGTAAACATCTTATCAATTGCAGTTAATTAGGTGGTGTAAGTAATAATTATAATTATTATAATTAATTTATTGTATATTTGTGTTGTATTTGTAATGTGTTTGTGTAATTAAATATTTGTAGAATTTATTATTGTATACTATTGTATATTTATTTGTATATTGTACAATTTGTATTAAATTATTATTATTATTATTATTATACTAAAGTGCCTGGAATGTAATCACTTCCCAGGCAACACAAAGTCTAAAATTGGATCATAAGACGTCTTATGACCCAATTTTAGATTTTGTGTTGTTTGGATTGTTATGTATGCTCTCTCATTACTTGTATTGCTTTTATTTGTTTTGCAAACAAAGTAGCTTTTTTAAAAAAAACCTCCAAGAAACATGGTAGCGCAAGTATTGCCATTTGCAATTATTTCTGACGTTGTAGTGCATAATGATTATATGAAATTATTATCGTACATTTGGCATCACAAAAGACGGAGATGACAACCATAAATTAATAATATAAGGACATAAAGTCAGAAGTAAAAACTGTATATACTTGGCGTGAGACATTACCGTGTATCTTGATATTGATTCAAGTACCTGATTCATCTTCCTCATTAACCTCTTCTTCGTGGTCTTCATTGACTGTGAATGTTTCAACGTGATCAACTTGCATGAACAATTTTGCCTCTTTTGCGAGGTCATCATCTTCTTGAATGTCTGAGCAGTCAGATGTACAAGAAGCATTTTCATGTACATCTTCTATATCCATGAAAGAAACCGATGTCAGGTCATTTTCCGTATTTTTTTTATTTGATAAAGCATGCCCAGAATGCTTTCCGAGGATGTACCATTTTAAACGGTTCTGTAATTCCACCGGTGAAGGATGGTCATTTGCATGTCCCATAGCTCTTATGTATGAAAAAAAATTTTCCAGAATGTCCTGATTCAGTCTTCTCGTAATGATGAAATCGATCGTTAACGCATCCGTCGAATATTTTTCTTTCACGTACTGAAGTAATTGCCTTAATGAACGGTTACTCAATAAGATTCCCTTTTGAAATGGAAGTAATGTCGATCTTTTTGGAGTTCGCATATTGCTAACAAGTTCATCCATTTGATCCAGAATTACATCTTGTTTCTGCAAATCAACTCCATACGCACGCAAACCACTGTGTTTGCCAAATTTAGAGTGGCAATTAAATATGTCGAACCAGTCATTAAAAAGGCTTAAGACCTTTGACATTATCTGCCAATTGTTATTGTGCGAAAGAAATTTTTGTTTTCCGCAATATTCAATTGCCTTTGCATTGCGATTAGAAAAAACCTGTGCAGCTAATTTTACAGATTGTCGCTGGTTGCCTTTAACATCTAAATGAAGTCTACTGAGATTAAAAGCAATTTTTAAATCACAGGAATTTAGTGCAACTAGCTCTTCTAAAATGTCTTTGTTTATTAACTGACCGTCGACGATAAATCCTGAATCAAATAAATTATTTCTAGCTAGTTTAATTATGTGTGGTATATCAGCAAAAACAAATACTTTCAAATTTTTGTCTAATGGATGCAAAAAGAAACACTGCTTTTCTTCGTCTGCTTTCTCTATCACTTTAGAATTTTTATTATTTGGGATCTCAACTCCAATGTTCATTGACTTCCATAAGCGTGCATTTGTAGGTCCCAAATCACTCGTAACCGCAACAACAGTGTACCCTACTTCTTGAAGACGTGTTATGATTTCAAATAAAATTTCTTTTGTCATGGGTTGATCGAAGTCGTAAAAGATTGGTTGTTTCCAGTTTCCGATAAGGCCTCGAGCCATTACAAATTGACTTGTTTTATGCGGTCCATATATCTTTTGCTCACGACGTTCCAAGTCTACTTTATTCGAAATGTAGAGTTCATCAAAAGACAATACAGTCAGTTTCTCTATCATCGACAAGCCTCCTCCCTTACTCTGCATTATTTGTATAACATCTTTCAGAATGCCCGGTTTGACATTAAAATGAGCACTCCAATTTCTGAGAGTTTGCACGCAAGGCAAAGGTACGTTTTTCACCGTCCGTAAATAATTGTATGCTCTGGCACTTACTGACCGCAGGGCAATAGCAGAAGAAATGTCTTCAGCTGACCATGTCATACGACTGTTATTTGGAGACATAATTCTTTTAATTTGTCCAGATGTAAACACCATACGCAATGCGTCAAACGCTATTGTTTCAGCGTTTTTTTCAACATTCTTTTGCAGTTGTTGAAACTCGTTAAGATTTTTAATGGCATCTTTTTTCAAGTGCTCATTTTCTTCGGCGAGCTGCTTAAATGCGATAGAGATCTGCGTATTCGCAACAGAGAGCTGCGTATTCTCGCTAGCAAGTTGTTTGTTTTCCTCTTGTAATTTTTTTAGCTGTTCCATAAGCATTTCAGCTTCCCTATTCGGCTGATTGTCTAACTGTTCAGCACTGTAAAAAAATAATACATGAATAAATATTAATCGAAAATGCTTTAATGATTATTTTATTTGTACAATTTTAATTTTTTTATGTTACTGTTGATCATTTAAATTTAGATATACAATAAAATGTACATATTAATACATACATATTCATTGCTTCAGCGGGTTCCACTGGTAAACCACCGTGTTCACTTTTTGCTTGTTCGTCTCGCTCATCATTTTCTGACTCATTTCCAGTGCTTACGGCATTAGCATCCATCTCCGTATTTCTCTTCGCATAAGCAACAAGTTCGTTATAAGATGGTATTTTGGATTTGCTATACGATAGAATAAATACCATTAATACAAATTGTGAGGTAGGTTTTCAGTTTTCGGTATTATTCCAAAACTATTATGAACTGCACAACAGAAATTCGTGAAAAATAAATGCAAAAGATTAAATGGATATATTTCTGAACTTACCGGGGTATCTTTTCTTTTGGTTCGTCAAGCTGTGGTATTGTTTCCTTTGGAATATTCAGCAATTCCGTTGGTATTGAGCCTTTTTTCAGCCGTCGAATCAGTCGTGGCAGATTCTTCGAACGTTGTTGTGTCCATTTCTCTTCGATGCAATCCGGTACGAAATGTCGCTCACATACTGCAGCTAAAAATAAGATTTTTTAATAATCTTTGGAACATGACAAATAAAACCATTTACCCGGTAATTATACAAAGCATTCGGAATATAAACTCACCACAGCTAAGTTTTATATCTGCTTCTTTTCTCTGACAAGCTTCGAGCCACTGTCTCCTTATTTCAGGCTCTTTTGGAAAATAACACAACAATACGTTGTAATTTTCTCTATTACCACGACCGGTCCGGCTCTTGCAATTTTTAACGCAACACACTGGCATTTTTAGCAATTGTTCACGATAAATGACACGACGAAACTCAGTCAGTAGCCATATTGAATTTTACATATGTTCGCATAAAAGCTCAAAGCGTAATTGGCTAACTGTCCCCCACTACTTTTAACCTACTGCGCATCCATCGGAATGGTTCACCTTTCTTCTTACACCATGGGTCTAACCACCTCCAAGCACAGATGTCTATACGCTACTAGATACTAGATCGCTAACTTCGTCAAAAGAGTTGAGGCTATCCGGATTTCCAGGTTCGGCCATGACACTGACCAACAAAATGGTTGCAACAGCTGTTGCGTGCGAGACGATATATTTATTGAATTTATTTGTACGGATTCGTACGTACTCCATCTGTGTATGTATGTACCCCTTATCATGACGGCCGGTCTATTGTCAGACGTTGCGATTGTTACGAGTTGTCATACTCCAGCTCGCCAGACTCGCCTACCAATCGCCATTTTGGCCTAAATGCTCGTAAACAGCGACGTGGATACGCATTAATTGATAACTGTTGATAATGCTTTGGGTACGGCCGCAGATAAGACATAAGACTCTTAATTATAAAATTACGCTGACTCGGGGTTGTTTCTCGTCACGCGATCGTCGAGCATGTTGCGAAACAACAGCAGTGTTCTCAAGCAATTCTGCAATTGCAAAATCTTGCGCGACAGTAGGATTCAGACGGAGGACCTATGGGTGCGAGACGGAAAGATCGTGAATCCGGAGAAGATCTTCTACGACGAGAAAATCAAGCCAGATGTTAGGATAGACTGTAGGGGAGCTTTGATCTCACCGGGGTATATAGATGTACAGATCAATGGTATTTAATCAAGTACATACATTCTTGACATTTCACTCTTTTCTTATTTTTCTTACTTTTTGCCAAGTGAAAAATTAATAATTTATATATCATAAATTGGAGTTGGATGCAATGCAATCTTAGAGTTTGATGCAAGATACAGATTATAAACCAGAGAATTATAGGTACAAAAATATTTTGTTAGTGCAAAAAACCTCGTGAATTGTTAAAATTAATATTATAGATTTTTCAAAATTTAATAAGAAACTTATAATTTTATGCTTCTGTAAGTAAATGAATGATTTAATATTTAATATTTTTATTTGCCAGGAGGATTTGGCATAGATTTCTCATGCAATGTCGACGATGTGGAAGGTGGCATTGCTAAAGTAGCAAAAGGATTGCTCGAACATGGAGTAACGTCCTTTTGCCCTACATTGGTTACATCACCCACCGAGGTGTATCACAAAATCTTACCGAGGATAAAGAAGCGAAATGGAGGTAGCCACGGTGCTGGTGTACTGGGCGTTCATGTAGAAGGACCATTTATTAGTCCGGTCAAGAAAGGTGCCCATCCTGAACATTGTATCAGAAAATTTGATCAGGTAATAATTATCTGTTCTGAGTAAATTTACAGAATTTTTCAATGTATTGCTTAACTTACATATATAGGGATTTCCTATTAGGGATTTAAATCGGTCACTGATATGTATGGCGATCTAGACAATGTGTGTATGTTCACATTAGCACCCGAGATTCCAAATGCTACATCTGTTATTGAAGAGTTATGTAGAAGAAATATCAAAGTGTCTCTTGGTAAGCTAAAGCTTTAGCCTGGGTCTACAATAGGTGTAACCCTTTTGTTCTAAGCTCTGAGTTATGACATTAATATGGTTTAAACTTTAAACTTTACAGCTGGGATCTGGTCAGCTCGCTTAAAACTTAGGGATTAAGATTACGACTTAAGACAGCATCAAAAACGTTTTTTTTTTTTTTTATTAAAAAAGTCAGTTTAGAGCTTGGAGCAAAAGCTTAATATTTTAATGATAATGCACTTAGGGCCGGTTGTTCCAACTTGTTGGTAAGCTAACCAATAGTTAAATCAATGCCTATCTTTGTCTAATGTAAAGGATAAACAAAGACATACATATGATTTAACTATTAGGTAGATTAGCAACAGGCTGGAACAATCAGCCCTTATTATGCTATATTAAATGTAAAGATGTCTTGTTTTGGAATTTTATATTTTAATTCTTATATATCGCGTATATTGAATCTTGCAGATTTAAGAATTTCTTTTCAACTCAATTTACATGATATATTTCAGGACATTCTGTAGCAAATTTAAATGAAGGAGAAAAAGCAGTTATACATGGAGCGTCCTTTATCACTCATCTATTTAATGCCATGTTGCCTGTGAGTTGTGAAATACATTAGAGATTTATAGTCGACTTATATATTTCACACATAGCATTTTTAAAAATTATAGTTCCATCATAGAGATCCAGGATTGGTTGGTCTCTTAACGTCCGACCAAATCCCGTCTGGAAGAATCATTCATTTTGGCATAATCGCCGACGGGATTCATACTCATCCTGCGGCGTTACGGATCGCTCATAGAACGCATCCCGAAGGTTCGCAGTTTATGTACCTATATTTATCTCATGATATGTTGTTACAATTTTAATAAAATTAAAATGTAAATGCTTGCACAGGTCTTGTGCTTGTAACTGATGCGATATCAGCGTTGGGTCTGGAGGAGGGAATCCATCAACTGGGACAGTTTAAAATAGAGATACGTAAAGGATGCGCATATATCGCCGAAACAAATACTCTGTGTGGTAGCATGGCGGAGCTTTCCGAATGTGTAAGACACTTTAAAGAAGCTACAGGTAAATTATAATAATAAAATAATCGTGAAATATTTTATTTATTTGTTGATTGCATCATGTAGCATACTTATATTTAATTTTTGCATCATATCTCTATTCAGTGTATAACACTTAATGAGAATTATATTTGTATAACACTTAATGATGTAATCGCAGGTTGCACAGTAGTCGAGGCGTTAGAAGCGGCGACTTTACATCCTGCGAGAACCCTCGGTATCGATTCCTACAAAGGCGTCCTGAATTTCGGGGCCGATGCTGATTTTATATTACTTGATGAGAAACTCGAGTTATTGTCAACATGGATTTCGGGAGAATGTGTTTATGAGAAGAATATTGGCAGTATAAAACAATTTGATGCGTACATCTACGTAGTATGAATTCGAATCGATTATCGTATGAAGCACACAACTGAGTATTTTATGACTGGGCACTGGCATGGAATGATAGTGACAGACCCATGAGACATACTACTGTTACTGTTATAATAAAAAGCCTTAAACTTGTTCCAGAGAATAGCTTTTGTACGTTGTACTGAAATTTTTGTACATTTGTACTTGTAGTTTTTTACTTAAATAAATACTTATCATTTTATATAAAAGAAATATGAAATTGTTATGCGAATATATATAAAATTTAGAAATAATTATATTCCTTGATTTTTCAAGGAATAATGATTTATATGAAACATATATTTGTAAAGATCACCTGCAATATTGTGCCATATATGTATATGCAAAAAGTATTTTACTAGATAATAAACATTTTTATGTATATCTTTTTTATTGAATTGTATATATATATATATTATATATATATATATATAACAATAAATTTATATGTTCTTTTTGTTTAAAAACTTTCGTGTTCTTTCCCATCTCTAATTTTCCAATTTTGGGTATTATGCCAATGTAACAACAGTGTATATCACATTATGAAAATCATTAAGTAAAATTTAATAATGGTTTTACAAGGAAGATATATTTATATAAAATTAATGATTGCGGTGTTGTCGCGCTATATTAAATGATTGATCTTAAAATCATGACCCTTCTAATCTTTTTTCACTTTTCCATTAAGAAAGTTCTAAGATTTATTTCTTCGCTAAAAAATAAAAAAAAGAAAGATCTTTCCGGCGGAAAGAAATCGACGGGGATAGCGGGGAAGAAAGTTCATGTCTCTTCATTTTCTTCGCGGATGCTTTATTTAAATCTTGGCGCAACTTCGCTAATTTCTCCCGACCGCCATTCAATACCCAGGTAGCAATTAATGTCTAAAAAACATCATAAAGACATCTTTAAGATTTTTGGCATCTTAAAAACATCTTTATGATGTCTTTTAGACATTAATGCTACCTGGGTAGTAGCTTTTGTTTACTCGGTCTTGCATTCCATATCCTACCCGATTTCCCGCAGGAGCATCCGCTCTCTAAAAACCACCGCGCGTGAAAAGAACGGATCGAAAACTTTTCTAACGAATCGTAATAAGTAGATCCCCTCTTGTGCAGACGGCATTGAAAACTCCTAAGCTGATTATACAGGGAGACTCGTCGCTATATACCAAAAAATACTTTAATGGCGGATACTTCGGTGAATTTGAAATAAATGTTTCTTTATCAAGATTTTTCATGAAAAATTTAATCGCGAGGAGATATCTCTCTTGATATAATAAGTAAAATTAGTCGGCGTGTTTAAATTATGATAGATTAATTCTAAATTTAAATTTTAAGATTCGTCTTTCTCTTGTAATTGAAAAGTGAGAATTATATATTTGTTATAATTGTTATCATTTTTCTCTTTCAAAATTTTACATCTGAAGAGGAGTAAAATTGTATAATTTTATAATAAATCACAGGAACATAATGAGTCCTTTCATTTTTCGCGGCGGTTTAATTTCATTTTCTTGATTTATTAAAATCACAAGGAAAAAATTCTTGATTTATTAAAATTGCATAATTTAATTCCTTTCGAAACGCAAAAATTTTGCAGAAAGTAATGTAGGAGATGAATGTATGCGTGCATGTACGTGTGTGGTATGTGTGTGAGTGGGAAACCGATAGCATGTATATCGCGACGCCGGCGAATCGGCGGTTGCAAGAGTGAAGAGAAGATACGCCGGTCTTTTGTTCGGTCGTGTTATGTCTTCGAGAGAGCGAAGCGTCTGCGAAGCCGACTGCGCGCTATAATAAGTTAATAGTGTAGTGCGAGTCACAGACCACAGTTAGTTGATGACAGAGGATTGCCAGAAAACAGAAAAGGTATATCATACCTAAAATAAATTAGGTATATTACAATTATTCCTGCGAGAGTGTATTTTTCTAAATTAATGTACATATAGATATACTTTCACGATTAAAGCAAATTTTATTTTAATGTGCGCAGATAGTCGAGTTATCGTTATCGCAATCAATTTTTAGGAGTGTTCCACATTTATTTTACTATATGTTGAACTGTATTTTTTGTAGTGAATCAAGAAATCGGTATTACATCACACGGCCGCGGCCGTTGCATATTTGTTTTTTCTGCGTACTGTTGCGCGCACTTGCATTTGGTCGACGTCGACGTCCTATCACTCGCTCACTGAGACTGTGACTCGAGCGGGCAGGTAGCTCTGTGAGTATTATTTCTCGAAACGCAATCGCGACAAGTATCGTACGATTTCAAATGCTATTAACCTGCGCGATTAACTAATTTCCGCGATTATCGAGATAACTTCATCGTGAGCACATCGAGGTTACGACTTTAAAGCGTCGCGCGTCGTCTACAATGGCAGCAGGAGTATGCAGTAAAGGCGACATAAGCAGTATGCTATATTGATCAACCACAGTCGGCACAGTCGACACATTATTCCTGAATTGTAAAAATCCCATTAGTTAATAACTTACTGCTTACGTCTTACTGCATACTCTTGCGGCTATTGTAGACGAGCCATACATTGCATCTTGAAACAGATATTTTACTCAATTTATTCATCTGTTTGCTGTTTTTGAATTGAAAAATATATGGATAAATAATTAGTGAACTATATACTATACTGGAATGTGAACTCCTATGCTAGCGCCCGGGCCACGAGAAGAAAAAGACAGAATGGTTGCTTTCCGACTCTGTCTGTTTATTTAGTATATATGTATAGTTCACTAGGCATAATACATCCGAATTGTCGATTTAAGTGGCTTAATCGCGTGCTGTTAATTGAAAGTACCGTTCAAAGTGCGATTGTTTTATATTTCAATGATTAATGCGCTTGCAATTGTAATTAAAAGAAAAATTTATTTTGCAAATTTTGCTACAACAAAGGAGTCTGGGAAAAGGAGAAGGAGGAAATATTAGAAGAATCGGACGACGCAACCACAGAGACAATCAAGAAATAAGTAATTTATTTATTATTTTATTTATATACGAATTAAATAATCGCTAATAATTATTTTATACACGCAATATTATTTATTGAAATATTCATTATGTTTAATTATGCACGCGTATTACAATTTGAATATGTTTATGTAATATGTCAATGTAATTCATATTTAAACTTCGTATATGAGTCAAATTTTTTTATTTTAATTTAAAGAGTAATGGGTCTAATAAAGTGAAACTAATAAATAGATGTATTACTTTAAAATGTGAGCTAAAGGATACCAGTATTAATATATATTTAATCCTAGATTAAGCGTAATAGCTTATTGTGCACTCGCATTCTCATATAAAGCTAAGATGAAATTCATTATATTGACACATTGTTTATTACGATCCCCGAAAGCAAATGATTAATCCTTATCAATAATAGTTTAATTAGGGAGGTCTCTACTTTTTGTGTCTTTACATTTTTTTAAGTGTCCGATCATCCGGAATCTTCCAACATCACTATGAACTATGCGCCGATTCAACGCGAGATCCGCTTGCCACGGCCACAACCACAACATCCCACAACAGAGACAGTCTCATACATCGAACCTCCGCACGTTATACTCTGTTCTGACGAAAACATTACTCCTGAAGAGATGATAGTGACAGCCATTTGTTGGACACTAGGAACACGACCAACAAAGGTGCCCGTGCGCCAGGTGCATATGACACCTGAGCTAGCAAAAGCACTAGAAATGGCTACTAATATGAACCACTTTGATCAGATCCTAGTCTTTCTTGGCATGGCAGGACTAATGACTATCGTCAAAAAGATCAGATCTTGCTTCAATCCAAGTCATGAATATCTCATCAATAGATGGCAAGCTGTTTGTAAAGCAAACAAAATAGAAAACATTTTTAAATCGGGTGTTGTTTTGCAAAAACGATATCTGACCTTTATTAGAACATTAGAAATTTGGCAGGTTTGGATTGAATCGAGACCTGCACTCTCCAGAAGCCTCCTTGTTGCCGCCCTGGACCTTCCGGAAGGATCTCCTATGCTTGTGAAAACTGCGATGGCTGAAGTAAAAATAAAGATTAAATATTTTGGCATGAAGAGGATAATAAAGATGGATGCCTTTGTGTCTGTAAAAAATGTAAATGTAAATAAAGCCATCTTCCTCTCGGATATCGCACAACAAGCTGCTGATCTCAGAAGAGCTATGGATGAGTTACGCACAAGATATGGAAATCGTTTCCCATATTTGGAAATTTACAGGCTCGAAGGAAGAGATCGCCTTAATTTTAGGAAATACCCAGACCTTTTCTATGCGGTTTTTGCAACCGAAGTTGCAAAAAAAAAGACAATCCCTGATAGCGTAAGGGATATTTTAATGGATTTTCAGACTCGGACCGCGAAATATATCATAGATGATGAACTAAAGAAAACGTTGAAATCCGAGATGCTTGATGAGGTAACTACTGAAAATCTCCGTTTCCTTAATATTGATCCGCGTCTCTTCTGTCAGCGTCGAGAAGAAAATGGAAATTTAATATCTTATTGTACGATAATATAGCAACTAATTGCGAGATATATCAGTTGCTTGAAATTTATAGGACAATCTCATAAGTATGAATAATAAAAAATAACAGAAAATGTATCAGCCAGAGCGATTATTTATTTTTGTACAAGTTCGATGGAAAGTAATAAGAGTAAGAAAATGAGTAAAATAGAACCATAACAAGTAAAGTAGTAATATTTTTAATACATCATACTTTTATTTAAACTTTTTCATGGCGTTTTTATTTCATGGACGATGAAAATCGAAATAAGATATTTATGTATTCTATATATGTTTATGTCAAATGAGAAAATAAATTAGTATCTATCATTTTACATTAAACGCTTCATTAAGAAAAAACGATTGTTTACAGTGATATTTTAATGTATTTAAGGCTGCGGTCCGATTCACGCTCACAGCATTGTAAGCATCATTCTGTTTTTCGTTGCACATCGAATATCAAACGAAGATAGAGCGATACTTTCAGCGCTGTGCGCGTGAATCGGATCGCAGCCTAAATTTCCTTGCATTATATAGCATAACAGTTCTGCCTAAGCATTAATATATATTTCTTTATTCTGTCGATGTATTTTTTCTACGGAATTAGTAATAATAAAGCGAAAAAACAAAAAAAGAAAAGAAAAAATAAAACTTGCCTATCTCTAAGATTCGTTAATTGATCGTGTCACGGTAATGGAAAAGAATGCGTCTTAGTCGATAAATTGCCAGTTGTCACTAATTGATGAATTAATAAACTGCGTCCTTTAAATTACAAATGTACGGTGAATGCCTGATTCCAAACGTATGCGCCGGGGGAATGTCGAGAAACACCTGAAATACAATAGTGATTACATCAATTAATTATATTAATTGTCATTGTATTACGTTATATACTATTGAATATCGTTATATCTTTGAATTCAAACAATGTGTTACTAGAACTATACTCTATGTATTATGTATGCTTTATATTATATCTATAATATATTTATTATATTTTACGTATATTCTATTTTTTTTATACATTTTGAAATTTGTTTTTACTTTGTTTTACATACCTTTTCCGGGCAGTGTGCTCCTGGTCCTGGGATCTGCGAGTGATCGTCTGGTATCGGAAAACGCGCGCTTATGCTGTACGCTGGGCTCTTCGCTCTGGTCGTGTCCGGTTTAATTGTCTCGTACGCGCCCGGCCCGGGCACGAGGACACGATCGTCCGTAAAGACCTTTTGCCTACTGGATATAGAATAGGCGGGTGCCGCTTTCTTGTTACCCTCCTTAGTTCCGCCGAGAGCAGAAGGGATGTTATAGATATTGGGCGCTGAAATATGATCAATCTATTTTCTCAGAATTTAACATATTGTTTTTTATTACATTATTTCATACGTAATCTTATCTCATTCACCATTTACGTCGTATTCTTTCTTTTTTTCTCGCATTTTTTTTGTAACATTGTTTGTAGGATATCTTCATGTAAAATTACATCTCTGACGAAGGTTTGCATCTTATTAAATATTTCACGAAGTGTAAGGTGTGCGAATAAATGATCAAGGAAGCGATACAAAATGACTAAATACAGCGAACTACTGGTGTGAAGAACTAATCTTTGCAATTCTGCATTCTATGCATGTTAATGCACGCGAATAAAATTGCTGCTACGTAACATACTTTAACATGCAATATCATATTTATCGTAGATCGAATTGATTATATTTACCTGGAATGTTGTTTGGTCTGCTCGCGGGTGGTCTGAGACCGAAAGTAAATTGCAACGCTTTCTCCAACAAAAGCATTGCCTTTTCTGGGCTGTACTCGCCAGGACCTAGAATATTGATCGAAAGATAAAATAAATTATAGATTAATAAATTATAAGAATATATTTCAAGTTAGTATATTAATGCAAGAAAGTAATTAGGAATGACAATAATAGAACCCACCTGGTACAGTGTTCCTCTCGTACATCTCGGTTTTAACGCCGAAACTATATTGCGGCGACTTAGACATGTTTATTTTCTCGGGACAGTACGTACCGGGAGCTGCAAAATGAATTGTAAAATGCTTCTGTATATTCTCGAAAAGTATTAATTCCGGTTATTACACTTATTCCGTGCATAAGACTACTAGGCACCATACTAGTACTGTGACATATATTTAAAGGACAAAAACGACATATAATAATCACACATTTATTATACACATATTTATACACATATATCTATAACACATGTTTATTACAACAATCCCGCGTAAAATAAATCGAATTAAAATGTTAAAAAGTCGAAGCACAGCGACAGAATCCTGGTACCGATATCTATCTCATTTTTTCTACTTTCTTACAGGCATTAATCTTAACAGTATTACGTACAGTTGTTTCTTCCGCAAACGGTTAGTGGGACAAGGTCGAAGAAGCATTTTAATATGACATGCCTACTTTAGATTTGCATTACAGCAATAATTCATGTATAAGACTTCACGATAAACCCCAAGTCAGAAACAATGTAACATTAACATTTCCATTAATTTCCTCCTTCACCAATTACCTGGTGTGTCGCTAGGCTTATATAAGCAGGGCTTTCTATTACCGAAACTAAAATAAGGTTTATGTTCCAAATGTTGAGCTTTTTCTGGATTGTAGCTATCAGGGCCTATCGAAGCAATCAGAAATTAATATTTTTCGTACCAATTATTACATTCTCATTCATATTACATTTTATTAGATCCATTAGTTTTTTTTTGTTAACTCACACCATTACCTGGTGTATCGCGGGACTTGTGAAGGGGTTTTCTATTACCGAAACTGAAATATGGTTTATGCTCCAGATTTAGAGCTTTCTCTGGAGTGTAATCGGCTGGGCCTACCAAAAGCAATCAGAAAATCATATCGTTTATTATCGTCTTTTCCATATCTTTTACGCGCATTAGCCCGCTTAGAAAACGCGAATCGCTAAAGATCCAATGTTAATCCACACCGAGTTAATCCACACCGTTACCTGGTGTATCTCTAGGTTTATCCAAAGATTTCCTATCACCAAAACTGTAATAAGGTTTATGTTCCAGATTTAGAGCTTTCTCTGGTTTGTAATCAGCTGGGCCTATAGGCGAGGCAATCATAAATTAATATCGTCTATAATTATTCATTAAATTTTTTCTTCGCATGTTAATAGTATGTCAAAGAAATGTGTCTCAATTAAAGTTTATCGAGGTGACATGGCATTCACCTGGATTGTCGTTTAATTTTTCCGGCATCCCTTTTCCGGTCAAACTGTACTGCGGCCCCTTGTCTAAATTCACCTTCTCGGGGCTGTATGTGCCAGGTGCTACGACAAAAAATAAAAACACCAACGATGAAAAGTGTCATAATTTTATTTAAAAAAAATAACGTCTAAAACGTACCAGGAACATCGTTAGCTTTCGGAACGTATCCTTTGCCAGTCAAACTGTATTGCGGCCCTTTGTCCAAATTTATCTTTTCTGGACTGTAGGCGCCAGGTGCTACATAAATAATAAAATATATGAATAATAATATAAATAATAAATTAATCAATCAATTACCTGGCGTATCGCTGGGCTTGTCCAGAGGAGTTCTAAGTCCAAAACTGTATTTCGGTGTAGTATCCAATTTTACCTTCTCGGGCGAATACGCGCCAGGCGCTAAACATTTTAATATTACATTAATATATTTAAAAACTATTTTTTATGAGCAGTTTTACGTACCTGGTGTATCGGTGGGTTTCTCCGCAGACCCTTTGCCAGTTAAACTATACTGTGGCCCTTTATCCAAATTTACTTTCTCCGGACTGTAAGCTCCAGGTGCTGCGAAATAAAAGTGAACGCACGCGATAAGAATCTATTTTTTTTCTGCACAAACAGAATCTTAATTACCTGGCGTATCACTGGGTTTATTCGGAGCATGTCTAATTCCGAAACTATATTGCGGCGTATTATCCAGTCTTACTTTTTCCGGAGAATACGCTCCGGGCGCTGAAAACCGTATTATTATGTTATTATATCTACAAACAATTTATTTTTGAGATTTTACAATTTTTACATACCTGGCGTATCCGCAGGCTTTTCAGCCGGCCCTTTACCAGTCAAACTGTACTGCGGCCCTTTGTCCAAATTCACTTTTTCCGGGCTGTAAGTACCCGGTGCTGTAAGATAAAAATAAATATATGCGATAATTGTAAAATCGTGCGCAATACTATTGTAAAATAATTATATATAAATCTGTATATATTACCTGGTGTGTCACTAGATTTATCCGGTGCGTGCTTAATCCCAAAACTATATTGCGGCGTATTATCCAGTCTTACTTTTTCCGGACAATACGCTCCAGGCGCTGAAAATCATATTATTATGTTATTATATCTATAAAACAATTTATTTTGGAGCTTTTTCAATTTTTACATACCTGGCGTATCCGCAGGTTTTTCAGCAGGTCCTTTACCAGTCAAACTATACTGCGGCCCTTTGTCCAAATTCACTTTTTCCGGACTATAGGTACCTGGTGCTGCAAGATAAAAATGAACATGTGGAGTAATAGTAACAATCGCGCGCAATACTGCTGGAAACTAATTATATGTATACATATTACCTGGTGTGTCACTAGATTTATCCGGAGCATGTTTAATGCCGAAACTATATCGCGGCGTGTTATCTAATCTTACTTTTTCCGGAGAATACGCTCCAGGCGCTGAAAATCGTTTTAGCATATTATTATATCTACAAACAATTTGCTTTGGTAGCTTTTGCAGCTTTTACACACCTGGCGTATCCGTAGGCTTTTCGGCAGGCCCTTTGCCAGTCAAACTGTACTGCGGCCCTTTATATAAATTCACTTTCTCTGGACTATATGTCCCAGGTGCTGCAAACGGCACACAAATATAATAATAAATATACAATAGCAGTTTACGTATTATTAACGACGTGCTTTAATTATACCTGGTGTATCGCTGGGTTTCTCCAAAGGAGGTCTGATTCCGAAACTATATTGCGGCATGGTGTCCAATTTAAATTTCTCGGGATAATACGTTCCGGGCGCTGAATAAATTACGATTCGCATATAAAGTTTATGCCTACAAATAACAAATCACAACTTTATCATACCTGGAGTATCGGCGAGTTTCTCGGCTGGTCCCTTGCCACTCAAGCTGTATTGAGGCCCTTTATTCAAGTTCACCTTTTCGGGACTATATGTACCGGGTGCTAAAATAAAAAAAAATACACATTCGACAGAGACACTTTCTCTCTATGATAAATGATTCATTGTGCATACTGCATACCTGGCGTATCGCTCGGCTTCTCCACAGCGGGCCTTAATCCAAAACTGAATTGCGGTGATGGATCTAATTTCACTTTTTCGGGACAATACGCACCAGGCGCTATCGAAAAAAAGTCACCGTTTTTTTTTTTTTTTTAAATCATGAATGCTTATTGGAAACTGAATGCTTATTGGATATACGAATCTTCACATACCTGGCGTTCCATTGCACTTCTCGATTCGGCTTTTGCCGGTTAAACTGTATTGCGGACCCTTCTCCAAATTCACTTTTTCTGGACTGTATGTACCAGGTGCTACATTGAAAAAGAAGAAGGGACACGTTATAATAGAGACAAGTGTTTTTAACACACCGTACACATAAAGAAATTAGAAATAAAATGTCTGTTTTTCTCTTCAAAATTTCAAGACGAGAGAGCATCGCGTATCGTTTATTTATTACTTCTAACTGGTACTTATTCTCCAATCTCATAAAACTACTTTTATTATAAAAATAAAATTAAATAAAATTTACAATAATAAGTGAAATTGGACCGATATAAATCTTACAATTTAATAGAGAAAATGTCATCTTCGGTCGGGCTGGATCTTGATAGCTCAATAATATATTTTTGTGTGAATTTTTGTACTTTTTCTGTGTAAATTTTTATACTTTCTCCAACTCACAAAAATTGTTTTATCGAACTAAATTATTTATCGAGCTTGAAACACAATTTTTCGTTGGAACAGTAAATCCACATACTTAAATCGATAATTGATTTACATTTTGATGCTAATATAAGCATCTTTTTTAATTATCGTAAATAATTTATTGTGAAAAGTATCACCCTAGCTAGAGTTTAAACTTGGACCTTTCTGCAATATTATTATTAGGCTACCAAGATCCAGTCCGCGCAGGATAGCACTTTCTTTATTTAATTAAAATAAAATTATACGAGAGAGAGAGAGAGAGAGAGAGAGAGAGAGAGAGAGAGAGAGAGAG